AGCTCTGTGATTCTTGAAGTCTGCATATCTGTGCTCTAATTCTTCATGCAGCCTCAAAATGACATCAACATACTTCTCGGCACTGAGTGGTGTGCCCGCATCCACGAGTGTCTTGCATGCTGGGAAATGGCAAAGGTTTGTCTGAGAGAGCTGGGCTTTCCATCACACACGTTTTGTGGAGAATGCTCTCACGCTGTCATGGGCAGAACTGACAAGTTGCCCCGGGCCTTGTAACGTTTTGTTCAGTAAATTCAGCTCATGTGTGATATGAACAAGAAAAGCTAAGTCCATGAGCCTTTTGGGATCACTTAGCACAGGAACAGCCACTCCATCCTTCTCCATGAAGGCTTTCACCTCTGCTCTCAACTAAGAAATCTCTTCTGTACGTTTCCCCTGCTGAGCCAACGTACCTCGGTAAAGTAGAGCACATCCCCGTATTCTGACTCTGTTCCTTCTAAAAAGGCACAGAACTGTTGGTGCTTAGAGCCCCTGGATCTGACTTGTTTGATGCATTTCACAACGACAGACATCACGTTTTCAAACTTCAGGCATTTGCTGCAAAGGACCTGCTGATGGATAATGCAGTGTAGAGCAATGGCCTCCTCCACATCCTCGTCTTCCAGTGTTTTTTGAACAAGTGCCGCCAGTCCATTTTTCCTCCCCGTCATTGATGGGGCTCCATCAGTTGTTACTCCATCAAACGTCTTCCATGGCAGACCCACATTCTCAATGGCATCACAGAGCTGCCGAAGTAACTCCTGAGCGGTGGTCTGGCCACGCATTGGAGTTACCGTGAGCAACTCCTCCAACACTTCAAAATTGTCATCAACACCGCGGACAAACATTGCGAGCTGGGCAGCGTCGGTGATGTCTGTGGTCTCATCAAGAGCAACTGAGTATACACTGAAAGATTTGGCTTTCTCACACAGTTGGACATAAATGTCACTTGACAGATCAGAAATGTGATCTGCTACTGTGTTGGCAGAAAGGCTGATGTTACTAAATTGATTTTTCTTTTCTGGACAGACTATATTTGCAGCCTGTAATATGCACTTTTTGACAAATTCACCATCACTGAATGGCTTTCCTTCTTTAGCAGTCATCTCACTGACCATGTTGCTAGCTTCAACTGCTGCGTTACTCTCCTTGGTTGCTTTCTTGAAGAAATCTTGTTGCCTCAGAACAGATGTTTTAAGATTGGCAGTCCGTTAGGCTCTCTCATCTCCTTGGTATTTTGCATACTCCTCAGCATGTTTAGTTGTGTAATGATGTTTCACATTGTATTTTTCAGATTTCAGGTTTATTGGCCAAGTAAAATTACATTTACAAAGAATTTAGCTTCGGTAGATGTTCACTCTCTAAAACATACAACTACAATAAATGAGAATGAAAATACATAAGAACATGTATACCCACACACACACACACACACGCACACACACTCATATCCATAAGCATACTGAATAAGTATAAAAAACTATAGTAAAAGGATGGTAAAATAATCTACAGATTCAGGAGAGAAATGGCTGAAGGAGTTCTTGTGTCTGGTAGTTTTTGTGTACAGCGATCGATAGCGTCTGCCAGATGGGAGGAGATGGAAGAGAGTAGGAGGATGATGAATAAACTAATCAATAACTTTTCTGTTTTGTTTGATACTGATCAGTTGCATTCAGTTAAACTACGTTTTCAATTCAGTAGATATCTGCGTTAGAGGGCTGCATCGGGATTGGGTCCCGAGGGACCCAACACAAATCTTGCGGGGGCGGGCGGTGTGAATTTTGCTGCGGGCGGGAACGGTCAGAAGAAACAGTGCGGGATCGGGATGAGTATGATGGAGTCGGCAACTGATGTTGAAAAGAAGCTGAAACAAGGTCTTTATGACACAAAAACCAAAGCAAGGCAAGTCAGACATTTGGAGGAGTTTCTCCGATTGTGTTAATATTTCTCATTCAGGTCTCTCTTAGAAAAGCGACCTCGATCACGGCCTGATTACAGAGGAGAATAAAATATGAAGCAGCCTTGATTTCATTAACCCTTTAAGCACCACACAGTAGCTCCTTTATGTTTTTTTAAAGAATTTTATAGTTGAAGTAGCGAGGAGTTATTTGAAATCACATGCGCCGATGCGTCACCGGTGACCCTGGTGACGCATCGGCGTTAAAGGGTTAAAAACTAAATGAAAACAAAGTGCGTCAATCCTGACCAATGTGTTAAAAGACGTGCAGGATCCGATCAATTTATTTTTCCCTACAGATAACGGCGCAGTGTGCAGCTCTGGTGGTAATCAAGTTACCGTAAATCCTCTAATACAGGCCCGGGCCTCTATTTGACTCAAGCTCATCAAGCTCCAGGCCTTTATTGGAAGGAGGGCCAGTATTAGAGGCAGGCCTCTATTTCCATTTGAGCAAAATGAACTAATGTTCATTGGAGTTTTTGACAATTAAAATTGCGCCCACATTTTCAAAGTTAAACACATTTCTTTTAACAACGGTAGTTTCTGCTTCAGCCATCTCCCCCCTCCCCCTGCTTTAGCCCTCTCCCCCCTCCCCCTGCTTTAGCCCTCTCCCCCCTCCCCCTGCGCAGCGGCCGCAAACTCACTGATGCGCCTGCAGCCTCTCGGAGTTCCTGCTGCTCTAAACATTAAAATAATTATTTCATTTTCTGTTCCTCACTTCTGATGACCTTCAATGGTGTCTGTTTGTTGCAACAGCAGGTACAAAAACTAACTTGTTTTTATTTTGACTATTTTTCTGTCCTGCCTGTTTATTATCTTCCTGCATCTCCTCTCAATCCTAAAGAAAAACTGCTACCTGGGTTCATATATATTCACCTCATGAGTTACCTTTGAACTGCAGTTCTAAAAGATCTACCGACCGCAAAAACAGCGGAGTGCTCGCTGTTTGTCGGCCGTATCAGTGATCAGTGCGTCGGAGGACAAGGTGATGCGCGCAGCGCCCCGCTCCACAGCATGCAGCAAACGCATCAGGCGCAAATAAAAGACAGAAAACATTAAAGGAAATGAACTGACATGAACGATCGCGTGTTAAATTAGTTTTTGAGGTGGCGACACCTGATTGTTACTGTGGCCGTGCTCAGGAGGCAGATCTACCGACCGCGAAAACAGCGGAGCGCTCCCTGCTTGCCGGCCGCATCAGGGACAAGTTGATGCGCCCCGCTCCACAGCAGCGATACACATCAGGCGCAAATAAAAGACAGAAAACATTAAAGGAAATGAACCGACATGAACGATCGCGTGTCAGTGCCTACGGTCTGGCACAGCGCGTTGCCCCCCCCCCCCCCCCCCCCCCCCCCCCCCCCCACCCCCTGAGCGCAGGAGCTTGTCACCTGCTGACAGCAGGCTGCTGTCTTTTCCGAGGGCTGCATCTTGCCGGTCATTATCACGTGACAGCGACTAGTCGACGACAGGCATAAAAAGTCACTATAGTGAAGTTGACTAGTTCATACACCCCCTACTGCTGCTCTCCAGAGTGTTCTGCAGCATAATCAGCACGTTCTCTTTGAACTTGATAGTGTAATGACCTGGCTGGGGTTGTAAGCCAGGTGCATTCTGGGTATTGTGTCATATGTGTTTCCTATCATTCTGCTAGTTCCTATGTGCTGATTTGCGTGTTGTGTGAGTGTTATGTAAGCCACAGGGAAGGTGATGTGTGTTCTGTGGAGCGGGTTGAATTAGCATGGTTAACTGACACCGTGACTCTGTGTGGTAGGAGCGTGATAGAGGATCGTGTCTGTAGCGTTACAAAGCGTTGAAGAAAAAGCTTAATAAAGGTCTGCGTGAACGTCTACTGCCTCCTGCTGGTTGATTTGGGGACTATAACCCTGCCACCGGGACGCTCATACTTGCTTGTTACTACATTCCACCCGGCCACAATAAGAGACCGGCCATTATTTACCTAAACTAACTCTGACACCGGCCACAATTGGAGACCCGGCCTTTAATTGAATACCGGCCTGTATTAGAGGATTTACGGTAAATTTCATCTCTTTGCAACAATTTTCACAAGAAAACAAAACAGTTAAAAGCAGGGCTTGTGTTGTGTTGACCGGATAGTTCCTGTATTTGACCGTTTATTTTGATGGAGAAAGAATAGAAAGAATTACCCCGACGCATGCAGACAAACTGACATTTTATTCGTTACGCACATCGCAGATGTAGCTAAATCACCCAAGAATATATTCCCATTTGAACATCTGAGCTGGACACTGCTCAGCGCAGCTCGCTGTCAGCGCGTACGTACGGTGCACAGCGAGCTGAAGATGTGGAGAGGGGCTTGGAGCACGTCGCAGAACCAGAGCGCATGCGGGAAGCTTCCTCCCACTGAAGCCATTGTTTTCCAAATTCGGTCTCTCAGAGAGACTTGTCACTTAGAAAATGTTCCCTGATTATGAAACTTTGGCTGAATAGTGCTTGTTCCTGTCTCCAATGTGGCGACACATCCAGGAGCCGTCTGAGGAGAAGCCCAGAATCTCACATCCTCTTCAGCTCACAAAGCGCCGATATGATTACGCACAAGCGTGGCCCGTCAACCCGGTCTCACAGTAAGACCGGGTTGGACCTGTTCAGGTTTACGCAGACAATCTTTACATTTAGAATTGACTTACAGATATAAAATTAATTCAGTGAAATATAAAGCATTTTATTTAAATATCCATTCATTATTTTACAAGCACAGAGAGCCGCATCAGATGGATGGAAGAGCTGCGGGTTGTCGAAGAAGAAGAAGAAGAAGAAGAAAATATCATTTCTGTACCACCTCTCAAGATAAAAATCACGAGACGCTTCACAAAAACAAAAAATATAAAAAATTGTAAAAATATAAAAAAAGCACTTAGAAAATTATTAAAAATATATTTCAAATGAGCAAGAATAAGCAATTGCGATTTAAAAGAAAAAATGTTAAGTGCTGTCTGGTATTTTAATAATAACAGTAATAAAGTTGCTGCAGGTGTTAACCAGACCGACCTGTGTGTGTTTGTAGGTGAAGCCGTGCTGGATGTTACCAGAGTGTTTGAGCAGGTCCAGCCCTCCAGAGAGGAGTCGGGGCCTCCTGGTCCAGTAAAGGTTTCTGTTTGAACTTTGGTTCTATTAGCATAAATCAGAATGTTCAGATGGATGGGTGTGATGAAGCAGCAGGTACTCTCTGACATGATGTGCACTCTGCAGGCTCAGCGTGCATTTTTAGCTGAGATGTTATTTTTCTGTGTGGTTTTAAAATGTTGACTCCATCAGACTCCAGTGTGGCCCACATGATGTGTTGGAAGGGCATCTGGACGCTACACTTGTCAGAGTTCGAGTTAATTCTGCTCAAAACGAGATGAGAAGTGAACCCCGTTTACCCTTGACCATGTTGCTTCTTGCCTCTTCCGGGCCAGAGTGGCTCTATCTGTCACAGTGCTGATGTGAAAATCACGATAAGAACCATGTCTATTCAGACTTTGATCACTTTGTAAAACCTCAGGTTTGGGTCAGATAAAAAAAATCTGCTTTGTTTTGCTCCAAAAGGCATAAAAGATCAGGTCTGCGTAATGAAAGGACCAGAAAGGCTGACTGGGGACGTTTATCCTGCATATATTTCTGATCAGCTGACCTGCAGCAGAATTCAGTGGAGAAGCTACACTTAACCCCTAGTTCACACTGGACGCATCAGCGGTGCGAAACGGCAGTGGAACATCACTCCTTCAAATTAGAATCCATTCTAGTCCATAGAGGAGATTCAAACCAGGCGTGTCCCAGAAACGGTGCAGCGCTTCTGGAACGAGCCTGAAAATGAAAGATATTTTTGCCCTGAGTCGTCTTTGGGACACTTCAGTTTCTGCACTTAACACGGGGCTAGACAGGAAATCACATTCAGTTTCAGTGCAAAACCCCCCAGTAATTTTCAAATCTATGTAGATATTTACTCTGCATTGTGCCAGAAGTGCTGCGGTGTGTTTTTCATGGCTTTAATCCTGGCAGTGGAGGGGAAGAGCATCATATATGACATCAAACAGTGATATTAAACATGATTTCCTTCCTTTTGGTTTAATGACAGATGGCAGAAACAAACCGTAACCTTTTAAGTCTCTAGGGATTTTGTGATCTTGCGAATCCAGCGAGGAGCACGGCATGGAAGGCACTCTGCGGCTGAGATTCTCCCGGTGTGTACTGGCACGCAGCGAAAGTAGCGAGTAAACCGTTTTGCTGCCGGTCCACAACGCTGATGCTTCCAGTGTGGAGTAGGGATTAGAGAGAACATGCAGAACTACACAGGAAGGGTTTGCTTACAAAACAAATAAAAAACGTTTTTGAGCTACAGACGTGGACAAAGTTGTTGGCACCCTTCGGTCAGTGAAAGAAAAACCCACAATGTTCACAGAAATAACTTCAATCTCACAAAAGTAATAATAAATAAAAATTATATGAAATATAACCAATGAAAGACAGACATGGCTTGTCAACCATGCTTCTATGGAATTAATTAAATAAATAAACTCATGGAACAGGCCTGGGCTAAAATGATGATACCCCAACTTAATATTTTGTTGCACAACCTTTTGAGGCAATCACTGCAATCAACCGGTTCCTGTAACTGTCAATGAGACTTCTGCACTTCTCAGCAGGTATTTTGGCCCGCTCCTCACAAGCACACTTTTCCAGTTATCTCAAGTTGGAAGGATGTCTTGTCCAGACAGCATGTTTCAATTCTTTACAAAGATGCTCAATAGGATTGATGTCAGGACTCATAGAAGGCCACTTTAGAATAGTCTGATGTTTTCCTCTTAGCCGTTCTTGTTTGTGTTTTCAGCTGAGTGTTTTGGGTCATTGTCATGTTGCAGAAGACCCATGAACTGTGATCAAAAAATCCTGTACCAGATGCAGCAAAACAGCCCCAGAACATAACAGCGCCTCCTCCGTGTTTCACAGTAGGAACAGCCTATCTGTCTATAGGATATTCTCCCAGAAGCTTTGCGGCTTGTCATCATGTAGCTTGGCATATTCCAGTCAAGCTTTTTTTTATGATTTGTTTTCAACAATGGTATCCTCCTTGGTCAGCTCCAATGTTGTCCACTTTGGCTCAATCAACAGATGGTGTGATATGACACTGATGTTCCTTGAGAAGTTCACCTTGGATCTCGTTAGACATTTTTCTACCATGGACTACAGTCCCATGGATCTTAAATTTCAGAATAATATGTGCAACTATAGTCACAGGAACTTCTAGCTATTGGAGATGGTCTTATAGTCTTATGCTTGTCTATAATTTTCTTTCTAATATCCTGAGACCAGGGGGACAAGATGGCGCCGAGTATGGCTGCCTCATCGCGAGCTCCACCCAGCAACAGCTGTTTTTTGTGTTTACTACTTTTTCTTTTTCTTTATTTTTTCACGAGTAGCACATGTATCCTTGTGTACGACCGACAAACCTTACTGGACATAAAAGATGGATTTTCTCATTACTTTCCAGAGTCCAGGGTTTTCATCACGGACCCGCCGTTTGCAGATCCCCCATTCATCTCACCTGAGACGCCTTTGTTATGGGCCCGTGGAGGCCGCAAGCGCCGACGCAGAGGGAGAAGATCTGGCGTTCTGGTTCGACTGAGACGGCGCACTAACAGACCACCATTACCCAGTTTACTACTGGCTAATGTGCAGTCCCTGGAGAACAAGCTGTGCGAGCTTCGGGCTCGGATCTCATTCCAGCGAGAGATGCGGGACTGCTGCGCGATCTGTCTCATAGAAACCTGGCTATCGGAAAAAGTACCGGACACCGCAATACAACTACCGTGGTTCTCCGTGCACCGCGCGGACAGGTCGAGGCGGCGTTTATTACGATCGGGGACTTTAATAAGGGTAACCTGAAGAAAGTCTCACCAAAACTACACCAACACATCCATTTCAATACACGCGGAGACCGGCTACTCGACCACTGCTACACCTCTTTCCGAGATGCGTACAAAGCCCTCCCCCGCGCCCCATTCGGCCAATCAGATCACCGCTTCATCCTGCTTATACCTGCCTACAGGCAGAAGCTGAAATGGGAAGCTCTAACCCTGAGGGCGGTGCATCGTTGGTCAGACCAATCGGAGTCTGCGCTGCAGGATTGTTTTGATAACGCGGACTGGGAAATGTTTAACGCGGCTGCTAGAGACATTGATGAGTACACAGACTCAGTCTGCGGATTTATCAGGAAATGCATGGAAGATGTTGTCCCATCTAGAACAGTTAAATCCTTCCTGAATCAAAAACCCTGGATTAATGGAGGTGTGCGAACGGCGCTGGCGGCGCGGAGCACCGCCTTTGCCTCCGCGAACACATCAGACTACAAACACGCACATTACCAACTCCGGAAGACGATCAAAGCAGCCAAACGTGAGTACAGAGACAGGGTGGAGCAACAGTTTGACAACCCCCAGAGTATGTGGCAGGGACTAAACACAATCACAGACTTTAGAGGGAGAACCAGCACACCGCAGACCACGGCCTCTCTGTGTGAGGATCTAAACGCATTCTACACCAGATTCGACACAGCGAACACCATGAGACCGGACAGTGAGCGCACCGCGGATGACGTCAGTGCGCACACTGTGTCTGAAGAGGATGTGCGGAGGTGCTTCAGGAGGGTGAACGCACGCAAAGCTACTGGTCCGGACGGGATTCCCGGCCGCGTCCTCAGGTCAGACGCGGCTCAGCTGGCTGGAGTGTTTACACACATCTTCAACCTTTCCCTCTCTCTGTCTGTAGTCCCAGCCTGCTTCAAAATGGCCACCATTGTCCCTGTACCCAAATCCTCCACCATCTCCTCATTGAATGACTGGCGACCTGTAGCCCTGACCCCCATCGTGAGCAAATGCTTCGAGAAGTTGGTCAGGGGCTTCATCTGCTCTGCACTGCCCAATTCACTGGACCCTCTACAGTTTGCATACCGCCACAACAGGTCTACTGATGATGCCATAGCCCTGACACTCCATGCTGCCCTGTCACACCTGGAGAAGAGAGACACGTATGTGAGAATGCTGTTTGTAGATTACATCTCAGCATTCAACACCATTGTTCCCTCGAAGCTGGACAGGAAACTGCAGGATCTAGGACTGAGCAGCTCCCTCTGCAGCTGGATCCTGAACTTTCTGTCTGACAGACGCCAGTTGGTCAGACTGGGCAGCACCACCTCATCCCCCGTCACACTAAACACTGGTGCTCCGCAGGGGTGTGTGCTGAGCCCTCTCCTGTACTCACTCTACAGGTGCTGGCCAGTAAATTAGAATATCATCAAAAGGTTGAAAATATTTCAGTAATTCCATTCAAAACGTGAAACTTGTACATTATATTCATGCAATGCACACAGACCAATGTATTTCCAATGTTCATTACATTTAAATTTGATATTCATAAGTGACAACTAATGAAAACTCCAAATTTGGTATCTCAAAAAATTAGAATATTCTGAAAAGGCTGAATATAGAAGACACCTGCTGCCACTCTAATCAGCTGATTTACTCAAAACACCTGCAAAGGCCTTTAAAAGGTCCCTCAGTCTTGTTTTGAAGGCACCACAATCATGGGGAAGACTTCTGACTTAACAGCTGTCCAAAAGACAATCATTGACACCTTGCACAAGGAGGGCAAGACACAAAAGGTGATTGCTAAAGAAGCTGGCTGTTCGCAGAGCTCTGTGTCCAAGCACATTAACAGACAGGCGAAGGGACGGAAAAAATGTGGTAGAAAAAAGTGTACAAGCTCTAGGGATAACCGCACCCTGCAGAGAATTGTGACGACAAACCCATTCAAAAATGTGGGGGAGATCCACAAAGAGTGGACTGCAGCTGGAGTCAGCGCTTCAAGAACCACCACGAGGAGACTCATGAAAGACATGGGATTCAGGTGTCGCATTCCGTGTGTCAAGCCACTCTTGAACATGAAACAGCGCAAGAAGCGTCTCGCCTGGGCCAAGGACAAAAAGGACTGGACTGATGCTGAGTGGTCCAAAGTTATGTTTTCTGATGAAAGCAAGTTCTGCATTTCCTTTGGAAATCAAGGACCCAGAGTCTGGAGGAAGAGCGGAGAAGCACAGAATCCACGTTGCATGAGGTCCAGTGTAAAGTTTCCACCGTCAGTGATGGTGTGGGGTGCCATGTCATCTGCCGGTGTTGGCCCACTCTGTTTCCTGAGGTCCAGGGTCAATGCAGCCGTCTACCAGGAAGTTTTAGAGCACTTCATGCTTCCTGCTGCTGACCAACTTTATGGGGATGCAGACTTCACCTTTCAACAGGACTTGGCACCTGCACACAGTGCCAAAACCACCAGCACCTGGTTCAAGGACCATGGTATCCCTGTCCTTGATTGGCCAGCAAACTCGCCTGACCTTAACCCCATAGAAAATCTATGGGGTATTGTGAAGCGGAGGATGCAATACGCTAGACCCAACAATGCAGAGGAGCTGAAGACGACTATCAGAGCAACCTGGGCTCTCATAACACCTGAGCAGTGCCACAGACTGATCGAGTCCATGCCACGCCGCATTACTGCAGTTATTGAGGCAAAAGGAGCCCCGACTAAGTATTGAGTGCTATACATGCACATTCTTTTCATGTTCATTCTTTTCAGTTGGCCAACATTAGAGAAACAAACATTTTTTCATTGGCCTTTAGAATATTCTAATTTTCTGAGATACCAGATTTGATGTTTTCATTGGTTGTCACCTATAAATATCAAAATTAGACGTAATAAACATCGGAAATACATTGGTCTGTGTGCATTGCATGAATATAATGTACAAGTTTCACGTTTTGAATGGAATTACTGAAATATTTTCAACCTTTTGATGATATTCTAATTTACTGGCCAGCACCTGTACACCTACGACTGCACGGCCACGAGAAACTCCAACATCATTGTGAAGTATGCGGACGACACCACAGTGGTGGGTCTCATCACCAACGATGATGAGACGGCCTACAGGGAGGAGATCAGCGCCCTGACCCACTGGTGTCAGGACAACAGTCTCACCCTCAACGTCACAAAGATAAAGGAGATGATAGTGGAATTCCGGAGGTGCAGAGGAATACACACCCCCATCACCATCAACGGTGACGCTGTGGAGAGGGTGAGCAGCTTCCGTTTCCTTGGAGTTCATCTGGCAGAGGATCTTACGTGGTCAGTGCACACGAACAATACAGTGAAGAAGGCACAGCAGCGCCTCTTCTTTCTCAGGAGACTGGAAAGATTTGGCATGAGCCACCGCATCCTCAGGACCTTCTATCGCTGTGCCATTGAGAGCATCCTCACTGGATGCATCTCCGCCTGGTATGGCAACAGCGCCGCTTACAACCGCAAAGCTCTCCAGAGAGTAGTGCGGTGTGCTGAAAGGATTATTGGAGGTGAGCTTCCCTCCCTCCAGGACATCTACAGGAAGCGGTGCCTGAGGAAAGCGGGGAGGATCATCAAGGACTCTAGTCACCCCAGCCATAAACTGTTCAGACTACTTCCATCAGGAAGGAGGTTCTGCAGCATCCGGTCCAGAACCAGCAGACTGAGAGACAGCTTTTTCCATCAGGCCATCAGACTGCTGAACACGGCGCAGACACCTCACCCTCACTACTGAAACTCCAACATTACACACTCCATACTGTACATTAATGCCACTGTTTTGCACATACCAACCTCTGTACATTTATATCTCTTATTTCATTGTTTACTTTATTCATTTGTGAAATATGTATATACGCATTATACACACACTCACATGCACACACGTAGAAAATAAAAAATAAAATACTTAGCACACACATTTAGGAATGTATATACCTTACATACTATACATATTATTACTTAGATTTGCCATTTTTATATTTTGCTTGTTTTTACGTTATTGTATTTTGCACAACTCTGTTGCTGTGAAGCTCGCACACAAGAATTTCACTCGCATGTACTATACCAGTGTACCTGCACATGTGACGTGACAATAAAAGCGATTTGATTTGATTTTATTTGATTTGATTTGAGACAACTCTTTCCTTCACTTCCTGTGGTCCATGTTGAGTGTGGTACACACCATGTCACCAAACAGCACAATGACTACCTGGAGCCCTACATATAGGCCTAAGATTGTAGGCACCTGTGATGCTAATTAGTTGATACATTTTGAATTAACATGTCCCTTGTTCACATTATTTTCAATCTTTTCTAGGGGTACCATCATATTTGTCCACGCCTGTTCCATGAGTTTATTTTTTAAAATAATTCTGATGAAGCATGGTTAAAAAGCAATGTCTGACTTTTATTGGTTCAATTTCATTTTTCGGGGGAGGCGGGGGACATTGAGTCCAAATAGGCCCTGTTCCATGCCTCCATTGTTGAGGCAGCTGACCGGAGCTGTGGCTACAGGGTCGTCGGTGTCTGTCGTAGCAACAACCCCTGAACCCCCTGGTGGACACCGGCAGTTAGGGATGCTGTCAAGCAAGAAAGAGCCCTATCGGGTCTTTATGGCCTGTGGGACTCCAGAGGCAGCTGATGGGTATCAGAAATCCAAGCAGAATGCAACTCGGGTAATTGCGGAAGCAAAAACCCGGGCATGGGAGGAGTTCAGTGAGACCATGAAGCAAGCCTTCCACACGGCTTTGAGAAGATTCTCGTCTACCATCCGTCGCCTCAGGAGGGGAAAGCAGTGCGCTACCAACACTGCTTATACTGGGGATGGTGTGCTGCTCACCTCTATTCGGGACATTGTGGATCGGTGAGCAGAATACTTCGAAGATCTCATTGGTACGTCTTTCAGTGAGGAAGCAGACCCTGGGGACTTAAGGTTGGACTCTCCAATCTCTGAGGCTGAGGCCACTGAGGTTATCAAAAAGGCCCTCGGTGGCAAGGCTCCGGGGGTGGATGAGGTCCGCCCGGAGTTCCTTAAGGCTCTGGATATTGTGGGGCTGTGTTGGCTGCCGCGGCTCTGCAATATCATATGGAAATCGGGAGCAGTTACACAGGACTGGCAGTCTGGGGTGGTGGTTCCCCTATTTAAAAAGGAAAAAGAAAGAAAGAAAATGATCTTTTATATAGCGCCTCTCAAGGTAAAAATCACGAGGAGCTTCACAAAATGAGAGAAAGAAAGTGTGATAAAACAATAATAATGTAAGGAAAGGGAGAGAGAAAATGAGTAGGAACGAGGGAAATCAGTGGATCCCGGGAAAGGTGGAATAAGAGCAGAATAAGGAGAGGGTGGGGATGAAGGTCATGCAAAACCAGCCGGATCACGTGAGTCTTCAGCTGCTTTTTAAAGGAGTCCTCTGATCTCAGGCTCAGGGGGAGATAGGTCCAGAGTCTGGGGGCCACAGCAGCAGATGATCTGTCACCTTTGGTCTTTAGCCTGGTGCTGCACAACCAGTAGGCTTTGGTCACTGGACCTCAGGGACCAGCTGGGGGTGTAAGGAGGATTGCAGGGTGTGTTCCAACTACATGGGGATCACACTTGTGAGCCTCCCAGCTAAAGTCTGTTAAGAGGTTCTGGAGAGGAGGGTCCGTCGGATTGCCGAACCTCGGATTCAGGTGGAGTAATGTGGTTTTCGTCCTGGTCGTGGAACACTCTATACCCTTAGGGGGGTCCTGTAAGTTGCGTGGGAGTTCACCCAACCAATCTACATTTGTTTTGTGGATTTGGAGAAAGCTTTCGACTGCGTCCCTCAGGATACCAGGGCCTCTGATAAGGGCTGGTAGATCCCTGTATGACAGGTGTCAAGGCTTGGTCCGCATTGCCGGCAGCATGCCTTCTCCGGGTCAGAAATGAGGTCCTGCCTCAAGTGGAGGAGTTTAAGCATCTCAGGGTCTTGTTCACGAGTGAGGGGGAAAATGGAGCACGAGATTGTCAGGTGGATTGGTGCTGCGTGTACTGTGATGCGGGCGTTGTACCGGTCTGTTGTGGTGAAGCGAGAGCTGAGCCAGAAGGCGAAGCTCTTGATTTACTGATCAAAATGAGTTTCCTCCGCTGAGTGGCTGGGCTCTCCTTTGGAGATAGGGTGAGAAGCTCGGTCATCCGGGAGGGGCTCGAAGTAGATTTGCTGCTCCTCCACATCGAGAGGAGCAGTTGAGGTGACTCGGGCATCTGATTAGGATGCCTTCTGGACGCTTTCCTGGTGAGGTTTTCCGGGCACGTCCATCCGGGTGGAGACCTAAAGGTAGACCCAGGACACACTGGAGGGACTCGGTCTCTCGCCTGGCCAGGGAACAACTTGGGATTCCCCCGGAAGAGCTGGCTCAAGTGGCTGGGGAGAGGGAATTCTGGGCTTCTCGACTTAGGCTGTTGCCCCAGTGACCTGACTTGGGATGAGCAAATGGATGGAAATTTCAAATAATTTTTGTTTCTTGTTACTTTTGTTAGATTCATGTTATTTCTGTGACCATTGTGTGGTTCTCTTTGACTGAAGTGTAACAATTGAAGTGCTAAAGGGCACTGAAGGAGTGAAGGGTAACAACAATTTTATCCATGTCTGTATAAACTTTAGTTTCATTCATGTCACCTGAGATAAATAATAAAATGGTGCATTTAAAAAAAAAAGTAATAAAAACAGACTCTTCACATCTCACTGACTGAAGGGTCGTCACACACGTTTTGTGTATTTAATACAGATCCTGTGTGTTCTCTCTCTTCAGTCCATTCTAAAGAAGAGTGTGACGATGCAGCATGCTCCATCAGCTGTTTACCATTACGACGACGCTGGAGGAGGAAGCATTCACCATAATAAAGTCCACGCCATTTTTCAAGCTGCTAAAAAAGATTTGCTGCAAGTCATCCAGCTGCAGGTAGCACATGGCAAACATCAGATGTCAGCTCCATCTCTGCCCCAGTAGCTCCAGAGTGCGGGAACATGATATTCCACCCCAAAGTAAAAATGTGTCTGTTGACAAATTCCCCATAGTTAGATAAGGTGGAAAAAGCATTTTGTAACCAGCCTGGTCATTCTCCTGGTCCAGCAGTACACCTTTAGCTTTAGCTTAGCATAAAACAGTGTAAGTGAATGGTACCAGCTAGCCTTGAGTGTGATAAAGTCATTAAATTTCACTCATTAGTGATCTTAATTTTGCTTGGTGACCTCAATAATCATATTGAAAACAATTAGTAACACAAAAGAATCGTAGACGCCATTTTAGACAAAGCGCAGCTGTAAGCCTCCGGGTGCAAGGACACATTTAATTAGGCCTAATTCCTGTCGTCTGCATGCAGATGGAACGATTTCCGTGTTTCACGGCTGCAAGCGGAACACGGGTCATTCAAAGCAAATTCAGAAAAGTCTGGATGATAAACATGAATAGAGGAGGAGCAGGCCTTGGACTGTTCACTCGGTGCATAGGTGAAGGCGAAGCTTTGTTTTTAATGATCAGAGTCAGCAGGTTTCCATTCCTGCAGCAGGCTGCTCGTGGGTGCAGCTCAGCGCAGCGATACTGAAGCAGGATTTTTACCATAAATAAAATTAAAAATGGCTTCAAACAGCATCTCCTGTGGATGTGACAGCGTCTCTGTCAGCTTAAAAACCTTCATGCAACACACACACACACACACACACACACACACACACACACACACACACACACACACACACACACAATCAGTGGAGCACCATGCGCTCCAGCGTAAATGCCATGTGCCTTTCTCCCCCCCACGTTGTCACTGTGTGTGTGTTTTGTGGCGGTTCACTAACAAGTGCATTAGTGTTTATGGAAGCAGGTGTCTTTGGGTCATTGCACCTTTCAGGGGAAGCTTACAGCTGTGTTTTGTCATGAAGTAGTCCCGAGTCTAAAATGTGATTTCTTTTATTTCTTCCTATTATTTTCACTTGCAGTCAGTCACCAAGCAGAATTGGGATCACAGTTGAATCATTTTAGTGACTTTTTCACTCACAAAGCTAGTTGGTACCATTTTCTTACGTTGTTTTATGCTAAGCTAAAGCTCAAAGAGTACTGCCAGATCAGAGGAAGGACTAAGCTGCTTACAGATAGTTGTTTCCCACTTATCTAACTATGGGGGATATGGCCATAGACACATTTTGACTTTGGGGTGGAATGTCCCTTTAAGGCAGTGTGGTGAACTTTCAGTAATCAAAAATGACCTCCTCTGGGATCAGTTCTCAGTCCTGCAGTTCTGATGACAACCTATTGATTCAGCACAGCAAAGTCCTGTTTCTGATGTCCACATCACTTTTATAATGTTTCTGTTAAATGCAACCAGCAAGCTGTCGGCTAATATCCGTTTTTACTAATGATTATGTTTAAACACTCCTAAAAGCATCCTACTTCCTGTTTAGACACTGATTATAATAACTGATGACATGTTTTCCTTTATCTAACTTAAAAACATGTTTCCTGCTTTTTGATGCTGTTACCAGCAGGAGGAAGCTGCAGGTAAAACTGAAATCCAGTCAATCTAAACACGGTGCGCAGCTACAGAAACATGTGACTTAATGATAATTAAATATTGATATTAATTATTGTGTTTCCATATTGTGGTGTAATGGAGTTCTTCTGTTTGAATTTACTTCACCAGGATCCCAGTCTGCTGGAAGGAAGGGTGACACTTCGCCAGATTAAAGCCGGTTCTGTTGTAGGTCACCAGGGAGACCAGGTCAGTCCAACTGCACCCCCCCCCCCCCTTTCCTGTGGTGCTTTTCAGTGATGCTTTAAGTGTGTGTGTGTGTGTGTGGGGGGGGGGGGGGGTGTAATTGTGTTTAAGTAAGCTTGTCCCTCTTCACGAATCAGGAGGTCATTGAGGTCGGATGACCTCTTAGCACCCGGGTCCAGTAGATTGACCACAGCGCTGACTTCTCCCATCCAGAGATGTCGCCAGGCACACAGGCTGGATGGAACCGTTTGCGTCTAGACCCTTAAAGAGCCGGAACAAAATCAGCTTGTTCTGCAGGAACCTTTTTGCTGTATCAGCTTGCAACAACCTTGACAGCATGTCAAAGCTGTTTCTTAGTTGTTCTTAGCTTCTGTGAAGCAAACAGAATTGATGTCTGAATGCTGGTGACAAGCCTTACAGGTTTACTCTCAGGTGGAGCATCAAAGCTTCTGCTTATTCCTGACATTTAAAACTTTATTGTTATTGTTTTTTGAATGCTTGTAATTCCGACCAGACACGGAGTCAGAGGTGAACAAAAGGGGGAGGGGTCCCCACAAAAACAAACAATTAATGATGAACAAGGGTCTGCTTATAGACCTGCAGAAAAGACACACAGCAATACAACAGGAGCAAACTATCACTGCATCGGCCTGATGAGGAAATATAAAAACATTGTTTTACTGTACAATCACGATAATAAATCACAGTGCCAACCACATTAAGTGCCAACCACAGCCGACATGTGTTGAACGTGCCCAAGTCCATACTTCTTGTATATCTAAGGTTTCTCTACAAGAGCGTCCATTACAGTGTGAGGGGCCACAGATCTGCACCCCAAAGATGTATAGGAGATGGAAGGAGCTCCAAGTCTCAGAGATCCAGGAGCTGCCCCAGAGCGCAGGGACCCCAGGGAGACTGCGACCAGAAAAGCCCCCGCCCCCCTCGAGAGGCACAGAGGATTGCCCCAGGCGGCCACAACCAGCAGCCGGCAGAGTCCCGGTGGATATCAGCGACAAGCCCACAGGCCCGCCCGCAGCCTCCCACGCGACCTGGGACCCAGGGGCGACCAGCCCCCCCGGGGACCCAACAGATCCCAGGGACCCAGACCTCACCAGGCAACCACCGGGATTACTCAGGCAGAAGCTAAAAATCTTAAACCCCCTGACCCGGGAGCCGGGATTACTCAGGCAGACCAAGGCACCGCACTCCACACCAGGTGTGACGGGGGGAGGGGAGACGAATATGTGTAGCAGCAAAAGAAGTCCCAGGAGAGGGGAGGAGTCAAAGGCCCCACCTGACATATACAGTCATACACAAACACAGTCACACACTCCCTCCCTCATGCTCACACATACACACCCTATTCACTCTGGTCCCGGTACTGCTGCACATGGGGTACACCCATCACCGGTTACCAGAGTTCGACCCTTTCTGCTGGGGTGCTGATGAGCAGGCTCCCCCACCCAGCGCCGAGTAAAGCGACCTACCACCCAGACCCCAGCCAGACGGCCAGATCTCCCTCCTAGCCTCCAGCCCCAGGAAGTTAAGCAACAACAGAGGTGTGCTAACCGTTTGCTGTGTCAGCTTTACAACAACCTTGACGGCGTGTCGTGGCTGCTTCTTAGTTAAAGAGATTTCACCATGGACGTCCGTTTCCGTAGCTTCCTCTAGAACTGTAGAGCTGGAACGAACCAACTGCAACTGCTGAATCACCAGAGTGATCCTGTTTTAATGTTCTCATGTTATGATTTGTGTGGCCAACCAGAGGTTGACATGTTGAAGAATATTACCAAGACAACCTCGGAAACACGCCTTCTTTGATACCGGATGCTCCGATCTGGGATAAAGAAACATCTATGTGTCACGCGCTTGACTTAACTTTACTTTGTCCTTCTGTGAGCGTGGATGGTGATGGCCTTGTCATATCTGCATGCTGAAACACATAAATCTTTCAATGTAATAACATCACATTCATTTCAAACTTCAATCATTCAAGCACAGATTAATGAAATCACTTCATTTTATAATATAATTATTATAAGTGACAATAAACAAACGTTTATTTAATGATTATTTAACTTATAAGTTTTTAAATGTTCATATTTAATTTAGGAAATCATTCTTTGATTTAGCAACTAATCCGAGCTGCGAGCGTTCACTTATTCAGAGGCATGAAGAATCCTGTAGGACGACAAGGGAAGCTTGGGCCTTGAGGAGAGAACATCATTGTTGACAACACGTTATCATGTGTTCAGAGCTGCAGAGAGGCTCTGAGCCCCAGCTGATGGGATGAAGGTGGGCAGATTAAAAGCAACACATGAAGACTCCTGTCTCCATGTCAACCAGATATTGAAGGGTCAAACTGTACTTAAAAACTGACCATTACTGGACACAACAAAATTGACCAACACATCGCAAAGGCATACAGGGACCCAATTGAAGACCAGCAGCTGGGTGACTGTAAATGCCACATAGACCCCTGAACCACAAGTGCTATTCATTTTATCGTAAATGCCGTTTAAGGAGGGCAGAAAGGTCATCCATAAAGTAAAGCAAAGTCTCCATCAGAAACGAGTGGCACTTTATACAAAGTGTACAAGAACGGCCCCAAACTTCTGCACCAGCTGTTGAAGATCTTGCAGGTTTTCTGGTAGAAAAGGATGATCCAGACTCAGGCTTTAGGCCTGATTTATATTTCTCCACCTGTGTCAGTGTCGAGACACACAACACCATTATGCATCTATGCAAGGCAGGGCTGGACTGGGACAAAAATTCAGCCCGGGCATTTTGACTGGAGACCGGCCCATCACCTGTTTTTTTTGGAAAAGACATTAAGCCTTATGCTGTTTCTGACACACACCAACGTACACTTTCTTATTGGTAGTATTTATGTATCAATCTAATAAACGTAAACCTACACCATCCTTCCTATCCTGGTATTCTAAAAAGTAGGGTTGGGGGTAACTGATTATTTTTTAAATGATTATTCTGACGATTATTTTATCGAATAGTCGACTATTCTAATGACTATTTAGATGATTAATCTAGCGATTACTTTTCTATTGCACAATTAATAAAAACCAAAAAATTCTAAATAAATTCCTCCAAAAAATTGATAAGTTGTTACTGTAAGAGAATAAACACTACAGGCCTTCCATTTTGTATAACACTGCTTTTATTGTGTTGCGGTTGTTTATGTTCTGGTGACGTGTAGAACTTGGGAGTGCAGGCTGCTGCCTGAGAGGTGGTTGGAGACGGAGTGTCTCCATGCTGCTTTGATTTGTTCACTTATGTGCATGAGGCAAGTGGTGTTACGACCCTTCCTGGGGAGTCACGTGTTTCTCCTATTTTAACTGTAAATCCTTCTAGCTGTTATATTTATAACAAGAAACAGATATTCGGACGGAATATTTTCATGTTTATTCGAATATGATTGTGGAACACACCCAGCATCATAATAAATGAAGTAATATTTATGCCAATTTAAGCCTTTATGGGTGACCAGGACTCTGTGTTTATGAATGTGGAAGACACCCAGCATCCTGTGATGGCACTAATAACATCAAGAGATAACAAATAAGGGAATATTTAGGTCAATTTAACCCTTTACACGTGACCAGGACACTGTAATCAATTTTTGGCAAGGGAAATGATCATTTGTTGCCATTTTTTAGGTGTTTATGAATGTGAAAGACACCCGGCATCCTGTGATGGCACCAATAACATCAAGAGATAATAAATAAAGTAATATTTAGGTAAATGTAACCCTTTACAGGTGACCAGGACACTGTAATCAATTTTTGGCAAGGGAAATTATCTTCTTTTTTTTTGTTGCCATTTTTGGGGTGTTTTTGATGACACAGTAGGCAGTATGAGTACAGTAACATCAACAGATAATACATAAAACCCTTATTTGGTCAATTTTAGCCTCTATGAAAATCTGAGCGATTCAATCACTTTTTGGCAAGTAAAATGCCATTTTAGTTGTCTACAATTAAATCATCAATAAAGAATTTAAAGATATTTTGAGGCATTTCTTATAGGTAAACGGGAGGGTGTAGTCTATTTGGCAAGTGACAATCTTAATTTTATGTGCTGAAGTGCTTTTATCTTGTTACTTTTAAATAGAGCAACGTAATGTATAGATAGTAACCTACACAGTGTCATTAAAGCCAAAGCTTGATCATTTTAAATACTTTTTTCCAAGTAAAAATGTGCCCCAAACTAGTTAACCGTGGCTCCATGTCAAGTGGACTAAAGAAAGGAAGGGGAAAAATTAAATCGCTGGAGAATTGTTTATTTCCATTTATACAACGTTTACATTCAATACAGGGTGCCATTTTACATTATTTATTTATTTAGTATCAAAGCTGTAACATAAAGAAAGCCAGTTCTTACCACAAAGTTTGTGGCACAAACCATCTTTCAATCGCAAATATTGCAAAAAGGATTAATATATCCTCATTGTGAACGTTTAAGACAAATAGCAACACTTAAAACAACTTCCGAACTGGAAAAACTAACGTGGCACGGTGCAGAAACGAGGGCCCGGGCGGGATTCGATCCCCAGACTCCCGGGTGAGAGTCATACGCTCTAACCAGTCAGCCAAAGGGGAATCTCCTTGGCCAGGTAGCCAGGGCGCATGATCAATCGGGACACTGTGGATGCTCACCACACTGCCACATCTTACTCCCTCTTTCCACAAGCACGTCCTCGTGCTCCCGCGCAGGGTGCCACAAACACTGCCACACTAATATCTGCGATAAACATCTGTTTAAGTCCCGGAAGAGGTTATCTTTGCTTTCTGAATGTCCATATTGCTAGATATGCTGAGTTTTAGGGCGAAATCCTGGGGAATTTTGTCTAGAAATGCAATTACCTAACCGTGCGCGATCCCGCGGTGGCTAATCATTTTTTGGCAGCGAGTCAATTTATGGCACAACACCGGCTCGGGTTTCTCCTCCTCCTCCCTCTTTTCTTCTCCAACCTGTCGCTGGGCTGAGGCTCCATCACTTCCTAAATTGATTTTACTTGAACCTTCACTACCAAACAACTGTGAGATTTTAACACATGTGCCAGCATCAGCCTGAAGGGCCAGTTTCTTTTTTAGTCGAATTTTCTCCGCTCCTGCTTTCCGTTTTTTGTTCTCCATTTTGTTAAGCTCGTCTGTCTGTTTACTGAGATTCACAAACAACTGGCGGGTGCATCAGACCTCTGGCTATTGGTCCAGCCCAGAGTGTATTATTACCAATTGGCCAATCCACCAACTTTTACGAGGCATCGCGTGGGGCGGCGCGGACAAGTTGTCCGCAACAACTAGAGGCCAGAGGGAAAAAAAAAAAAAAAACAGACACCGGCCCATAAAAGATGAAAGGGTCGGCCCAGCGGGCAGTTGCCCGCTATGCCCTATGGTCAGTCCAGCACTGATGCAAGGGCTCTAAAGATATATTTAGCAGCAGGCCCCAAGCAGATCGAAGAATGCATTGTGGGAAAAGTCACTCTTCTACAGCATCATGTTCCCAGCAGGTGTCGAGACCTCATCACAGACCATTACAACAATTTTAGGATGAGGCTATGTAGTGAAGCAACTACATCTTTGTGGCACAAGATAGAGATGGGCAATATCACAGGGTGCACTGTGTCAGTGTTATTGTTTTCCTTGGCCATGAATATGCTCACAAAGTCTCCAGAATTTAGTGTAGATGGCCAAACTCCGGATGACGGCAACGGACAACCTTACAGTCACAACTGAGTCACTCCCAGGAAGTGGGTGGATCCTAAAGGGATTTGAAAAGTTAGTGGGGTGGGCCTGGATGCATTTCAAACCAGCAAAATCAAGATCTTTGATACTGAGAAATGGTAAGATTTTCATCTCAGGCAATGCCGTTCAGACAATTGCAGAGGAGGCAGTCAAGAGTTTGGGCAAGGTATCTGACAACTCACTGAGAGACTTTGTCTCTATCCAGTCAAGCTGTTCTGAGCTGGGTGAAAGGCTGAAAGCTGTGACCACATCTGGCCTTTCTGGAAATTTGGGTTCATCAGCATGGTGTGCTTTCAAGAATCCTTCCAATTTCCACAAAATAAACACCAAGGGGAAGGATAGGCAGCGCCTTGTCCAAGAGGAGGTTGTGGATGAGTCTCAATAGCATGTGGGAATGAGGCAGCGGGGGTCATCGACAAGAAGGGAAAGTGCACTGCATTAAATTCATCATCCAGGCAGTATATCACTTGCTACCAAGCCAGCCCAGCCTACTTACATGAGGCTTAGTTGAATCTCCAGCTGGTCCATTGTGTTCAAAGAAAGGCACCCAAGAGCATATCTTCTGCTGCTGCTCCACAGCACTTGGAGAAGGTTACAGGTGAATCTATTCTAGAGACTGTGAAATCTTGGTGGATCTTGAACGGCAGCTGAAGTTCTCTAGTCATATTGCTGGCACCTCGCTCAGACCAGAAACTGTTCTTGTGTCTAAGGCTACAAAGCGTGAACTAAGATTGCTTGACGCTCTCCAAGTATGTGGGACTGGTTAGCGATTGTCAGCAGGCTGGTTGGAGGGGCAGGTGCTTCCCAGTGGAAGTTGGATGCAGAGGTTTTGCGACCAGATTCCTGGTTACGATGTGTTGCCATTGCATTGAGGGTGAGCATAAGAAATAAGTCATCCACAGCACCACCAAAGCAGCTGCGAAGGCTTCTAGATGGCCGTGGCTCAAAAGAGAAGAGCCATGAAGACACGGTAGTAGCTAGTTGGCTACCTGGACACAAGCTAGGGCATGCTCAACCCTGGCTGGGTCACCTGGAAAAGGGGTTATGAAGTTGAACGACCCAAAAAATTCAATGATTCCAGGAAAACATCACTGATGGTGTGTCCAGAGACATCAGAGGATGCGTTGTACACTGATGGTGTTTAAACAATTTGTAACCCAGTTTCAGCCAGGCTACAGATCTTCTGGTTTTATGGGTCAGTCAGACTGATTTATTCATCTCATATTTATAAAATCTGTTCCATCAAATGAAAATGTGCACTAACAGAAAAATGAACGCAAAGAGTCTCCAATGTCTTAATTTGAAGTGAGCCCTGTTTTACCCACCCACCCCAGCTTCTTTCTGTTATTTAATATATTGTAATGCATGAGCCGAGTATGTGACCTTTGTCAGATTTGATCTTAAAGAAATCTGGATGTTGATTTTACTCCACAGAGCTGTGAGGTTTTTATTTCCATTAAATGGAAACTAGCCCTTAACACAGCAGACTCGCTGATCTCCCATCTCTTCTTCTGGCCATGCTAAGGACGTGAGTGTTGCGTTCATCATCTCCGGACTGCTCCACGTCTACCAGCGTATGATCGACCGTGAGGATGAGAGCCTGCTGTTTGTCACCCACCCAGGGGAACTGGTGGGTCACCTGGCCGTCCTCACTGGCGAGCCCCTCATATTTACGGTGCGAGCCCACCGGGACTGCACCTGCCTCTTTGTGTCCAAGGCCCACTTCTATGAGTAAGATCAGCATCTGAGCCAGATCTAATGAGTCAGTCGAACCTTCTTACCAGATGTAAACGTGTGAGCAGGATAATGCGTGAGGAGCCGAGGGTGGTCCTGAACGTTGCTCACACTGTGGTCAGGAGGATGTCCTCGTTTGTCAGGCAGATCGACTTTGCCTTGGACTGGGTGGCTGTGGAAGCTGGCCGAGCCGTCTACAGGTCTGAGCTCTGACGGTCTATCAGTGCATCGCTGTGAGCCAGAACCGCACACACATTTGTTTTCTTAGTGATATCAAACAAAGTCACCACCAGTTTTCTTTCCTCCATTTACTCCTGAATCTTGTTTCAGACAAGACGACAAGTCAGACAGCACCTTCATTGTCCTCAGCGGCCGACTGCGCTCCGTCATCACCAAGGATAATGGGAAGAAGGAGCTGGCTGGGGAGTACGGCCGCGGCGATCTGATTGGTGTGGTGAGAAACCTGGATGCAATGCTGTTGAGCTGTCTAAGACTCTTACGCAGGGGAGAAGATTTCTAGAGACTTATGTGGTTGTTTCCAGGTGGAGGCCTTGACCCACATGAACCGAGCCACCACAGTCCACGCTGTCAGGGACTCGGAGCTGGCCAAGCTACCTGAAGGAGCTCTGAATTCTATTAAGAGGCGGTACCCTCAAGTGGTCACCAGGCTGATCCATGTGCTGGGGCAGAAGATCCTGGGCAACATGCAGCAGGTTAATGGACCCTTGGCGGGTACGTGACAAATTTATTATTATTATTTTTTGTTTGTTTTTTTAGATTTCCAACATTAAAAAAAACATTTCATATCCCAGCTTCGACTAACCCGTTTACAAAAGATCAAATAGAAGTATGAATGTATCAAAGTCACCTTTAACATCAATCACAAGGTCTGAACAGCTACTCCTTCACTGGTGCGTTAGATAAAAGGGAAAATCCAGTCAAGTGCAATATAAAACATACATGTGATCTAAAATAAGGAACACACAGTGTCACTGTCTATGTAGATAGGAATAATATTAACCATAATAGTCAGAGATGCTAAGCTGTAAAAATGAGCAAGAATGAAAGATTATTATCATCATTGGTGAGTTTGGCTGATGAGAATCAGCTCCTCTAAATCTGAGACCATGGTTTTGAATCAGAAAGGGTAGAACGCCTTCTCCAGGTCAGGGATGAGGTCCTGCCTCAAGTGGAGGAGTTAAGTATCTCGGGGTCTTGTTCACGAAGTGAGGGAAAGATAGAGCAGAAGGTGGATTGGTGCTGTGTCTGCAGTGATGCGGGCATTTTACTGATCTGTCGTGGTGAAGAGAGAGCTGAGCCAGAAGGCAAAGCTCTCGATTTACCGGTCGATCTACGTTCCTACCCTCACCTATGGTCACGAGCTTTGGGTAGTGACCGAAAGAACGAGATCACGGATACAAGCGGCAGAAATTAGTTTTCTCCACTGGGTGGCTGGGCTCTCGCTTAGGGATAGGGTGAGAAGCTCGGTCATCTGGGAGGGGCTTGGAGTAGACCCGCTGCTTGAGAGGAGCCCATTGAGGTGGCTCGGGCATCTGGTTTGGTTGCCTCAAGTGAGGTTTTCTGGGCATGTCCAACTGGGAGGAGACCTAAAGGAAGGCCCAGGACACGCTTGAGGGACTATGTCCCTTGGCTGGCCAGGGAACATGTTGAGAGGGAAGTCTGGGCCTCCCTGCTTAAGCCGGGCGTACACTGTGTGACTTTCACTTTTTTGAGCCGATTTTCCACTCGTGCGAGAATCCACGAGATCGGGGCGAGTTTTGCGCTGAGCGTCGTGTAGTGTACAGGGGGTTACGAGAGGCGATTAACACCACGTGACCAGCTACCGATCAGATTATTTCGTTTTCCTCATCCAACCCCCATGAATCCCTGTGTGTCCTCCTGAAGCACTCCCGAAGGACAACAGGCGAAACAAGACAAAAAAGTCTGACGTGTTGAGTAAAAACTCTTATTTTTAGCACATGTTTCAGGTCAGACGTGTTGCTACCAGACGTGCAGTGTGAGCACATGACTCGTGAGATCTGCCCTGCGAGGAAGTCGTACAGTTTGAGCTGAAGCTGAGTGCTACGAGTGAAAAAGTCGCACAGTGTCCGCCCGGCTTTAGGCGGCTGCCCCCCGCGACCCAACCCCACATAAGCAGACGGTAATGGATGGATGGTTATGTGGAGTCGGGAGTGGACTGTAAATAATCAGGAAAAGTTTTTATTCATTTAATGGCTTCCGTTTTAAGTTGGACCTATAAGATGGACTTTTACATAATTACCTTAAACCCAGTCATGAACAGAGCTGACATCTGAAATGTCGATGGTCTTAATATGGTGATGAAACCCTTTGATAGCGAATGAAATCTGTGAGATGTATTAGATCTAAGAGCCTAACCTCATCTGGCTCCGCCTACTTTGCTGTGAATGTTGTGTATTAAAACCTTTACATTAAACTAGCAGCCTTTTTAACAAATACAGTTTTAAAATAAAGCAGTAAATACAGATGAAACTTGAAAATTAGAAAATTGTAGAAAAGTCCATTTATGTCCATAAACCTGCTCAGACTGAGAGACCATCTAAAGGCTCAGGAATCCTCTGCAGGTGTTCTGGATTCATCAGCTGATCAGAGTGTGACACTTTTTTGAATCTTTTTTCGATAATCAGATTGTCTGAGATTTAGAATGTGGGGATTTCATCAGCTGTAAGCCTTAATCATCACAGTTATAACAGATAAAGGCTGAAACATCTGGATTAGCATGGAATGAGTCTATTGTAGTGTGATTAATGATTGACATTATCACTACATATTAATTATGACCAATAAGATGTGATGATTCAATATAAATATGAAATATCAATCTGATTGATCATTGAATGTTTAATCAGAAGATTCTAGGGTTTAAACACACTTTGCATTAATCCAGACTGTCATGTTCCTGGGAATGTGTTTAACCCACGGCATGAAGAATCATCACAAGAGAGGGTGGAAAGTTCAAAACAATGATTTATTACAGGAATCTAACAAAAAGTGTCCCTGGAATAAACCCAGATTAGCTGGAGCCAGAGAGAGTCCAAAATCCTGCAGGTGGAGGAGGTCGAGGAGGGCAGATGCAGTGAAGGGGTGAGTCCAGGAGAGGGAGCCAGGCGGGGTGGCAGAGGATAAGAGGAGAGGCGAACCGTGAAGTCCAGGTAGGTTATGGTTCTTTCCAGGTGAGTAATCCTGTACTGGTTCCACTTCTCGGATGGAGGATCAGATCCAACAAACCCAGAGCGTCAGGGAAGATTGTCCAAAAATCCTGGAGAGAAAATACAAATTTGAGTCCAAAAAATCCAACACAAGAGTCCAAGAATAATCCAAGAAATTTCCAAGAACTGTATCAGCCAATTATCATCGTAGAAACCAAGCATCCTAGAACGAGAGGCCAGATACTACCGTAAGTAGCTAATCATCCAGCGCTGTGTAGTGGTTCCCTCTCCTCTTAAATAGAGCTCTGCTGCGGATGACCTGAGGAGCTGCAGCTGCCGCTAATTACTGATACCCCGCAGCTGGTGAGCTCCCTCTCCTGAAATGAAGAACTCAAAGATGTTCTAGAGATGGAGGAGTACTCACCCCACCAAACAACAGTGCCCCCCCCCCCCCCCCCCCCCCCCTCAACGGACGCCACCTGGCGTCCTAGCAACTGCCTCCTCATACTCCCGGATGAGGTCAGGGTCCTCGATGAAGGAGCGCGGGACCCAGGAGCGCTCCTCCGGGCCATACCCCTCCCAGTCGACCAGGTACTGGACTCCACGACCGCGGGGTCGGGAGTCGAGGATCCTCTGGACGGTGTAGACCAGCCCACCCTTGTAGAGCCGGGCCGGCGGCGGAGGTGCAGGAGTGGGGCACAGAGGACTGGATCCAACGGGCTTGACCAAGGAGATGTGAAAAACGGGGTGTACCTTCATGTTCCTGGGGAGGTCCAGCCTGACCGTGGAGGGAGTGGGCGTATCCAGGATCTTGAAGGGACCGATGTACCTGGGAGTGAGCTTCCTAGTAGAGGCCTTGAGCGGGATGTCCCGGAAAGACAGCCAAACGTCCTGTCCAGGGGAGTACAGTGGGGCGGGACGCCGGTGTCGATCCGCCAGCTGCTTATTTTTGGCAGCAGTACGCTCCAAAGCCGCCCGGGTAGCGGCCCATGCTCGTCTGGCCCCCTGAGAAACTGCGGGATGGAGACTGAAGCCGAGGCCTGCTGTGGAAACAGTGAGGGTTGATAACCCAGTGGCGCTTCGAACGGTGACTGACCTGTGGAGGTGGATACATGACAGTTGTGAGCATACTCAATCCATGCTAGATGTGTGCTCCAGGCGGTAGGCTGGGAGGAGCAGACACAACGCAGCATGGCACCCAGTTCTTGATTCATACGCTCACACTGCCCATTGGTCAAAGGATGGTGACCGGAGGTGAGGGCGACCCTGGCGCCCAGAGCCCCTGCAAACTCCTTCCAGACCCGAGCCACAAATTGGGGACCCCGGTCTGATAGAATCTCTGTGGGAATACCATGCAGTCTAAAAACGTTCTTCACGAGGAGCTTGGCAGTAACGGTCGAAGAAGGGAGGCCTTTAAGAGGCACCAAATGACACGCCTTAGAAAATCTTTCAACCACTGTCATAATACATGTGAACCCCTGAGATTTTGGAAGACCTACTACGAAGTCAAGCGCAATGTGTGACCCAAGACGTGACGAACTGGGAAGGGGACAGAGGAGCCCATTTGGGGCTCGGTGGTCCCCCTTTTGCTGAGCACACACATGACATGCAGAAATATAGTTCTTAACGTCCCTGTACATGGAGGGCCACCAGAAGGTCCGTTTGATAAGGGCTAGGGTGCGACCTACGCCCGGATGAATGGAAAATCTCCCCGTGTGTGCCCAATGGATGACCTGTCCCCTAAGCACCTGAGGAACGAATAGCCTTCCTGGAGGCCCCTTTGGGCCAGACTCGGTCTTAAGTGCCTCCAACACCCTGTCCCGAATCTCCCAGGTGACCCCACCCACCACACATGATGAAGGGAGGATGGGTTCGGGCTTGGGCTCTTGGTCTGGTGCGTACAGTCTGGACAGGGTGTCGGGTTTAATGTTCTTAGAACCAGGGCGATAGGAGATCTGGAAGTTGAAGCGAGAGAAGAACAACGACCACCTAAACTGGCAGGGATTAAGATGCTTAGCTTCCTTCAAATAAATCAAGTTCTTGTGATCAGTCCAGATAAGGAACGGCGTTTCCGCTCCCTCCAACCAATGCCTCCATTCCTCGATGGCGAGTTTCACTGCGAGCAGCTCCCGGTCTCCCATGTCATAACGGCTCTCTGTCGGGGACAGCCGCCTGGAGAAAAAGGCACAGGGGTGAAGCTTATTGTCCTCGGGTGCTACCTGTGATAGGACCGCCCCCACCCCGGTGTCAGATGCATCCACCTCCAGCACGAACTGTCTCTGGGGATCCGGTCTGTGGAGTACCGGAGCGTCTGTGAAGCGCCTCTTAAGTTCCTGGAAAGCAGCCTCGGCTTCTGGGGACCAGACAAATGGGCGTTTCACAGAAGTTAAGTTAGTCAGAGGTGCAACTACCTTTAATGAAGCGCCGGTAAAAGTTTGCGAAGCCGAGGAAACGCTGTAGCTGCTTCCGGAATGAGGGGGTAGGCCACTCCGTGACCCCGCTGACCTTCTCCGGATCTGCTTGGAGTCTCCCGTGTTCCACAATGAACCCGAGAAACTTGACCTGAGGAACATGAAACAAACATTTCTCTTCCTTGACATATAAGCGATTCTCCAATAACCACTGGAGAACCGCTCTTACATGTTTCACATGCTGTGCAGAGTCCTCAGAAAAAATCAAAATGTCATCTAAGTACACAGTCACAAACTTGTTCAAGAAATCGCCCAACACAGAATTTACCAGCGCCTGAAACACCGCAGGAGCGTTAGTTAACCCAAAAGGCATAACTAAATATTCAAAATGTCCTATAGGTGTCTTAAAAGCAGTCTTCCACTCATCCCCTTGCCTGATGCGCACCAAGTGGTACGCATTCCAAAGATCCAGGCGGCTAAACACCCGCGCGTTCTGTACAGGCTCGAAGGTCGAACTGAGTAGAGGCAGCGGGTATTTGTTCTTTATGGTGATCTGGTTAAGCCCTCTATAGTCTATACAAGGTCTGAGGGTACCTTCCTTCTTCGGGACAAAAAAGAAACCCGCGCCCAGGGGAGAGGAAGAGGGACGAATGAGTCCGGCGGCCAGAGACTCCTGTATGTAGGTCTCCATACTCTCCTGCTCAGGTCTGGAGAGTTGGTAGAGACGACTGCTGGGAAGAGGAGCTCCAGGCAGCAGTTCTATACTACAATCAAAGGGCCTGTGTGGAGGGAGAGAAGTAGCTCTGTCTTTACTGAATACCTGAGCGAGATCATGATACTCCTGGGGTACGCTGGACAAGTCTATTTCTTCTGCTGGCGGCGATCGGGACACGCTGCTGTCAGGGGAAGCAGCTCCGAGGCAGGACAGGGAGCATCTCGGGCTCCACCCCTCCACGCTTCCCGTCTCCCAGTTCACCTGGGGATTGTGACGGAGGAGCCAAGGGTGACCCAGTACTAATGCTGTCTGCAGGGAGGGAAAAACAAAGAACTCTATTTCTTCCAAGTGATTTCCAGACACCCTGAGTCTTACCGGGACCGTCCGATGCGTGATAGTGGTTAGTCTGTGTCCATCCAGAGCCGCCACCACGAGTGGACTGGAGAGCCGGGTCGTGGGAATTCCCCGCTGACGCACTAGCTCTGTGTCAATCAAAGACTGCTCACATCCTGCGTCCAATAATGCATCTACCGGAAACTGTTTAGCATTAACATATAACAAGCAAGGTAAAACACTACGGGACCCTTCAGAGTTCTGATTGCCCACCAGTAGTCCCGACATTACCGGTGGGCACCCCCTTTTACCAGAACCGGGCAGGTTCTAGCAAAATGCCCAGACCCCCCACAGTACATGCAAAGACCCGACCTCATGCGATGTTCACGCTCCTCCTGGCTGAGTCTGGTCTTCCCTAATTGCATGGGTTCCTCCGGGGCGAGAACCTCCGGTGGGGAACGACTTGCTGACCCCGACCGGCCCTCCACCACTCGACTTGATCTGATCGCCGGTGCAGAAGTAGGTACTTGGAGCTCCCGGTGTCTCTTATCGAGGGAGATGGCCAGCTTGATCAACCCCTCCAGGGACTGAGGTTCCGGGCACATAGCGAGCTGGTTCCTGATGCGGCTGTTTAGGGCCTCCGTAAAAGCGGCAATGAGAGCTTCATCGTTCCAGGCAGATCGTGCAGCCAGCGTTCGGAACTCTAGGGTCATCTCTGCCACCGTCCTCTGCCCTTGAGACAGCGTCCATAGCCTCCTGCTTATATCCATGGGGGACACGTCAGAGCCAAATGTCAGTTTAAAATCTGCCAGGAAGGCCTCCAAGGGACCTGCCAAAAAGGCAGGGTTGTGGCTCTTAGCCTCTGCCCACCGTAAAGCCTTCCCACGTAGCAGTCCAACAATATAAGAAATTCGACTAACCTCAGTCTGGAAAGAACCTGGAGATCGAGCAAACGCCAACCTACACTGTAGGAGGAACTGTAGGAGGAAACTGTGGCACTCCTCGCTCTAAGTCTGAGCAGGTGGCGCAGGGGCGGCGCGGAAGTAGGCGGGTTCCGGGGCAGCGGCCCCTTCAGCAACCGCTCTTTGTATCTGAGAGAAATTGTGAAGTCTGGGTTATAAAAGTGAATTGGCTGTTTATTTAGTAAACTACAGATTTATTTATTGATAAACCTCATCAGATTCCAGTATGCAGGCTTACGATACCCGTGTATGAGTTGCTCCCCTCGGTTTGGAGGATTGTGGTCAGAGTGGTGAGGTCACCGGACGTCGAAACCACGATACTCAGAGATTAGTAGCTTCCTCTGAGTTCAGCTTACCCGGCCATGAGATGCAACCCGGGTCTGCAGATTAGGTGTGAAGTAGCTCTGCAAAGAGCTGTTGTGTCTGTTATCACTCGCAGCGTCGCAGAAAGGCTTTTGACTTAAGATCAAAGGAGTTTGTTTCAAAAGAGGCTTCTTTCCCGATTTGGCAGAATCTGAGTCAGCTGGAAACTGAATTACTCGGGAAGTAATTCTTGTTTTAATAAACTACTTTGTTATTAGTTCTGGCCAAGTTTGGCAAATCAGAATTCGACACGTTTCTGAGTATTTACCAACATCCCTCAGAAAGCCACGCCTTCCTGCAGATACAAAAGGTTTTAACACTTTGTGAATGAGAATCTTTAAAACTCTTATGTGAGGTGAATATTAACCTTAATCAGAATCAGAATAAGCTTTATTGCCAGCACTCCAGCGACCCAGAGCATAGGAACTTGACTCCGCAACACAACCTGACCAAGGTTAAACACACACACATGTAGACAAAAACAGGTACAGGCAGTCACGAGAGCAGCCAGAACGGCGCTCATTTCATTCGATGAAAAGGGTGTTACATGAGGATAATCGGGGTAAGGTAAAAAAAAGGCATAGCAGAGTTAGACCCAGCTCTATTATACAAAAAACTCCTCAACATAGAAGCACGAACATCACAGTTACAAAACATCAGAGTCCGATGGGGAGGCGGGGTTGGGCGGGATCCTGAATCCTCCAACGGGAGCTGCCAGTACGGCGCTCAGCCAGCTGCAGTCAAACAGGTGGGAGGGAGAAATGAGGGACAGAGAGCGCATTGAGTTTCCTGCAGGTTGATGACCTCGAAGCAGAAGTCACAATCTGAAGGCAGGGGGGGGGAAGGTCGGGACACAGCATCTGTCAGCATTCATCCTTTCGTGGGAGTGTGTTGATGGCAGCCTTGGAGGCTGCCTTGGCGTCAGATAAGGATAAACAAGACTTTGTTTAGGGCAGACAGAGATAATTTTCCTCTCTGCCTTGGAGTCTATAAGTGGTCATTCATGTCCACCAGTGAAGCCAATTATACGTTCTAAACATCCCCACACCGTCCGGCGACCCTCTCCGAGATGACATCCATCTTGCGCACTAACACAGGCAACGCCGCGAGGACATTGTCCAGCTTACAGTTCACCTCGAGTAACGTCCCAGCCTGTGAGGTCACCGCACGGGCGGCACATTCCGTGGGTGCGGGTCGCACTCCAATCGCTCCCATCTTCCCAAATTTCCAGAAAACCAGATATCCTCCCACTCCAATCAGAAGAAATCCAGTGATCATCAGGTCGAATATCCACAAATCTTCCACGTCCTCGATGGACAACTGAGAGAGGCACACGATTCGATTCAGATACAAAAGTTTTTAACACTTTGTGAATGAGAATCTTTAAAACTCTTATGTGAGGTGAATATTAACCTTAATGAGTATCTTATTGTAATGTGTATGAGTGTAAACATCGATTAACTTGTTGAATCAAACACATATTGATCTGGTGTAGAGAAGATTTGGAATGGATCATTGTAAGAACAATATTCATTTTAAATTCATTGATTTAAGCACAGGTTATTCAAACATTTGATTTGAACGTCTTGTTCATTCATCACACATGATTATTTAACTTATAACTGTAAAGTTCTGTAGGATCTTCAAGCAGATAGTGAGGAATCAGCAGTCTGGCTTTTACGCAGAGGGCAGGACCTTGGGTGAGAATGGTTGTGTCTGCTTTGAGGAACAATAAGTGAGCAAAGGGTTGTTTTGGGAGTCCAGATGGTGTTGCCATGAAAGGTTATGTGGTGTCGACTGGATGGTGAAAAATAGACCCTTTTGTACGTTACACTATCTAGCCCAAACATTTATTTTAATGAATTTACTTGTGCAACGTCAGAGGTAAGAACAACAAAATATCATGCCAGATCTGCAATAGAAGCCCTGAACACGGCCCATTTAAAGTCTCTGTCCTCAACACGGGTCGGGACGTGGTGAAAGCTCTCCTTCTCATGATCAAAACTTCACTCTTACTACTAAACTAGTTATAAGTATTTTACTAGCTTCGTTCATTTTTTTGTGATTTTATCTTACAAATAAGCTTGATGTGTAGTTTAGATCAAAGAAATACAAGCATCTTTTTTAACCACATTTCCATGATACCGCTGAAAAGCTGTGAATTAATTACCTTTATCCCCTCTACAGGCCGTAGTCTGTCCCTCCACACACCTGCCAGTAAGTGGGATGCTGGTAATCCGGTCTCCAACCTGTCCACCGTGACCATCTTACCTGTGTCTGAGGAGGTTCCCCTCACAACCTTCACTCTGGAGCTGCAGCATGCACTCAGTGGCATTGGTAAACCACGACTTCACCAGTACCTACTCAGTGCAAATGAACTTGGTCGTTTCTAAATATGCATACTCGCCTGAACTTGTGTACTCGCGTCCTTGTGAAATGTCTTTAACGATAGCCCGAGTACTGTTCCAATCCCAAATACATCACTAGGCAAGTTCACCCCAGTTCCCGGATGTGTTTTTGCTTCGCCCATTGTATCGAGGATGCGTCAATGCATCCTTCTGTGGACTTGGGACACCAAAGTATCCCACAATGCATTGCACCGCAGTTACACTCTGAACGCCAGAGGAGAAAGCTCATAACTGTCGTTTTTTATATCAGAAATACACATAACTAAATCTAAAGTTGTCTGTTCTGGTAAAAAATTGTGTGTAACCTGTTAAATTAGTTGTGTGTACTTGTTGTTGTTGTTTTAAGACTCTTCACAATCCCTCAAAATGCTAATTAGCCAACCCACTATCAAAATAAAAGCAGCTGTATTTTTTCATCAGCCTTTTTTTAGAAAACGACTGTGGCTCTCCCCTGTGGGGATCTGCAGGGAGCCATTCTTGGGCCCTTTCTTTTTCGCTTCTATATCTTGCCATTAGATGCCATTTTCAGATAATATTCTGTCAACTATCATCTTTATGCCGGTGAGTGTCAGGTTTATGTCTCCTTACAACCACATGAACCTGTGCAACCCCTACTTAACTGCCTTTGAGCTTCCAATGGAGCATTCTTAGACCAAACGTTGCAAAGCAAGAATTTGGTCTAGTTCAATGGGAAAAGTCTTACGTCGCAGGCTAAAAGTAAACTGAAAACTACATACCTTGTTTTGTAAAAACTTCCCATCGCCAGTTGGGCTTTCTGGGAATTTTCTGTCCTGTGTTGCTCACCCAAAAGGACAGCACTGTAAGAAGAATCACAGCAGAAAATAAAACTGACAAAAGTATAAAAATACTTTTTTAATTAGTACTTAATTTTCTAATCTCTGAAGATGTTTCCTTAACTTCTGAACATACCTGAGTTTAGTGTCGTGGACAGCAAAGTCATCACATTTGTAAATATAATGATACACACACACACACACACACACACACACACACACACACACGTAAATCTTGTTGGGAGTGTGCTTTTTTAGGGATCCACAGACCCCTGCAGATTAGCGATAGGTAATTTTTTATTTATCCCGTATTACCTGAAAGGATGACACACGTAGAGGAATTAGATTGATTGTTTGTATTTTCCATGACCCTTTAACCTGAAATAAACACACCTACACAAAGAGGATTTCATTTTACACTTTGTTGCCACACAGCGGAGAGAAGACGTTGGGTCAACCGGAGCTGTCCCCATGTCTCTCTGTCACTCCTCAGTTTCACAGGGGTTTTATTGACAACCAGGACAGAGAAGGCGGGCCTTCTCAAGTTACAGACTTACAGGCTCCTCATCTCCCAGGACACCGCATTTCAGAGATAACAGAGATAACAATGAGCTTACAGGAGCAGACGTTCTTTAAGACTCAAAAAGGAACATATAGAAAATACCCAACAATTAGGATGACCCCTTCACTTGCCCTTTTTAAATCTCATTCTAAAAGTCATGTTTTACTCATTAGCTTTTAACCAGGGATGCACCGATGTGCAAATGTTGGCCGATGTCGATATCTGATTTCGCAGTTATGTCCAATTACCGATATTTACAGATGTTAATAGAAGTAGAGATGTAAGAAGATATCCATACACTGAAATATTGTTTGTTTCAGATATTTCATCGACATATAAATGAAGTGTGTAGATATTTTATTTACATTTTTTATTAACATTTACTTTATTTCTTTTGTGTGGTGTAATTCAAAGTCCAACTGCTAGGTGGCAGCAGTTTTTACCATCTTCATTCTGACGGGACAGAAAGATCTTGTAATCACACTGAGTGGTTTATCTGAGAAGTAAATTAATAAATTAAATTAAAGAACATTCGTCAAGCCTAGAAGTGAATAGATTCTTCTGATCAGAAGAAGTAAAGATTATGTAAGAGAAGGAGTTTCAAAGCTGCTGCTTTAAAAGCCTTCTTTCACATCAGGAACAGTTTTAGAGGTGATGTGTTTGTTGTTCTAGGTCCAACTTTACTTCTTACCAGTGACATCATCAAACAGAGACTGGGCTCCGCTGCTCTCGACAGGTAGGTTGTTGACGACATAAGAAGATAAGCTAAACTCTTCTTCTCCTTGTTGTGATGCTAGCAGAGATTTTTTCCCTGAACAGTTTCCAGCATTCTTGCTGTTTGATGTTGTGATCATACTCGCATGACTAGGCCTTCCTGTTGTATTTACTGACATCATCGTATTTTAAAGTGTCCATGAGTACCGTCTGTCCAGCTGGCTTGGCCAGCAGGAGGACATCCATCGTATTGTTCTGTATCAGTCCGACTCTGGTCTTACACCGTGGACCCAGCGCTGCATCCGCCAGGCTGACTGCATCATCATTGTGGGACTGGGTGAGCAGGAGCCCACTGTGGGGGAGGTCAGTGTGCACTCACTCATAAGCTTGGTTTATGCTTGACGCATTCACTTTCCGCGCGGTGATGCGGCTCGCGGATGGAACGCGCTTCACAACTCGCAGCGTTTATGGTTCATGCGGCTCGTCTCTGCGGTGAGCCAATATTCTCCCAAACTGTAGGGGGCAGCATGGAGTCAAGAGTCAAGAGAGTCAAGAGTCATTTATTGTCATATTCTCCACATGTGCAGGACATACAGAGAAATGAAATTCAGTTTCAGCACACACAATTCAAAGATCAGACATACGTGGGTAAGACACATAACAAGAATTGGTGACTGCGGTCATTCGCAACATGAGTCGCGCTACCTTGGAGCTCTACGGCATGCACCCAACACTACACCATAGTAGAAGTAGAAATTACTGTTGTTTACAACATGGCATTTCAGCATTTTTAACAGCGTCCTCGTCTTTTCCGACAGTGCGAGCTATTTCTCTCCAAGAATTATTAACAACATGTTGATCACGGTGATCTCTGAGAGCTGAATCATACAAATGTCTGTATTTACGAACCTCTGCATACTAGTTCTTGCCGGTTCGCCATGTTTTTCCACGTCCGAACGTCCGCGTGGTTAGAAATTTTCCGAGGTGCGCGTTGTGGAAATTCTGGGCCGTGCGGAGGCGCGGTGGATGGGCGTGGTTGTTAAAATGACGCAACTTTTCCGCGCTGAGCCGTGCGGACCTCGCGGACGCGTCAAGCATAAACCAACCTTTAGCTGCTCCAGTATCATCAGTGTGCTTCTGTGACAACAGCGACTCTGTGTTACAAATCAGGACAGCCTGTAAGTGTAACGAGGGTTCAAACGGTCCTTAAAAAGATGTGTTGAGAGGCTTACCAGAAGTTTTCCTCCTAATTCCTCCTAATACCCTAGAATTTACAGCTGTTTCCATGGATACAGCAACCATCAATGTTTTAACGGCTCCTTCTGGGCGGGGATCTGTAACGTCAAAACTCTTCCTCCCCTCCTTACCGTGTAGCTAGAGCGAATGTTAGAGAGCAGTGCTGTTCGGGCTCAGAAGCAGCTGGTTCTGCTGCACCGAGAGGACGGCCCACCGCCCAGCGGGACCGCAGAGTGGCTCAACATGCGGAGCTGGATCTCCAGACACCATCACCTGTCATGTCCCCGAAGAGTCTTCTCCAGGAGGAGTCTGCCCAAGCTGGTACCAAACACTTGGTCTCCTACAGGAGAACTTGTCTGACTGAAAAAATGTATTTTTTATTTCTGTGTGTTTCTGTTCTCAGAGAGAGCTGTACCAGCGTGTGTTTGAGAAACGCCCAGATCGTTACTCTGACTTCTCTCGTTTGGCTCGAATCCTGACAGGAAACAGTATCGCCCTGGTCCTGGGTGGAGGTGGAGCCAGGTACAAACACACGATGAGCACATCACGGATGGATACGCTTTGACCTCAGTGCTAACAGTTAGCGCTATGTTCTTAATGTTTGGCTAGACATCAGGTGTATCCAGCACTTGGCTGTAACTGGTCTGAGCAGCTACAGAACACCAGTACTGGTTCTAACAAGAACCCCAGCTCCAACACAGGCCAGTGCTGAGAAGACCCATAACACAGGGCTTTCACACTTATGGTTCTAACCAGAAGCTCGACACAGAGTTGTTGATGAGAGGTAGGAGTCCTGGGGATAAATCGTGCTGTAGCGTTCTGGAGGTAATCGCTGTGGAGACCAAGGAGAAGTGAGCTGCAGTAATCGATGCTGGATGTGACGAGGTTGTGGACGACGATGGCAGTGTGCGCGAAGTAATTGATTGTCAGAGATGGGAGATGTTACCTAAATAAAAATAAGCAGACCAGGTGTGATTATTGATGTGGAATTGAAAAGAAAGTGTGTTGTCGAGAATGACACCTGGACCCTTAACATGAGGGGAGAGAACACCTCCCGTCAGTAGAAATAGAGAAACTGTTAGATTTGGAGAGAATGTGGGGTGTGCCTACCAGGAGGAATTTGGTTTTAGAACTTTAAGGAAGTTGGAAGTGAACCAGGAGGGAATTTCTTGAAGACAGAAGGTAAGGGACGGAGGTGGAAGTAAAACTGAGGGTTTGGTTGAGAGGCAGAGCTGGGTGTCATCTGCATAGCGATGAAAATGGATGTTGAGTTTCCAGAAAATGCAACGTAGCAGAAGAATGTCAAAGATGAAAGGACTGACCGATGCTAGGCCTTATTCATCAGCTGCATCTACACTGATAAGTAGCTTCTACTGTTTACTTTGTAAAGTCTCTTGAGAGGACTCTTGTTGTGAATTGGCTCTACATAAATAAACTGAATTCAGTCTCATCCTGATGTGTAATATTTAAGAGTGAAGAGTAAAGTGATGTCTCGGTTTGTGATATTAAATGAGTTACAGAACCCAGTCCTGACTGATCACAGCCTTCTAATGGTTGTGTTTCCAGGGGCTGCTCTCAGGTGGGCGTCCTGCGGGCCCTGAACGAGTCTGGGATTCCTATCGACATGGTGGGTGGTACCTCCATCGGGTCCTTCATGGGCGCACTATATGCTGAAGAAAAGAGCAGCAGTCGGATGAGGGTCAGAGCTCGGGAGTGGGCCATGGTAGGCCGACTTTGAAGTTAGGTGCGTGAATGCGAACTTCACATTTAGAAGGAATAATCTTTAAAAATGTTTCCAGGGCATGACCTCTCACTTTAAGAAGATCTTGGACCTGACCTACCCTGTCACCTCCATGTTCTCTGGAGCTTCCTTTAATTATAGTATTAGCTCCGTCTTCAAGGACAAACAGATCGAGGTGAGCTTCTAAAACACAAAGGATCAGCCAACCCAACAGGAAAACTAACTCATGCATTGTAGCGCAAATTTCAGTTTCACCTTAAGCCAACGCCTACATCTGTCCTCCGTTTGTCCCACACTAGGACCTAATCAGCATTCAGTCATTCTTCCATCCATGTGTGACCTAAGCCCTTTTCAGATTGACATTCTGGATTATGTGTGGACAATTCAGTCTGGTTTTTAACACAGACACACCACTTTTGTGCTGGAACTTGTCCTTTCGGCTGTCTTCACACAGCAGGGAAAAGTTCCAGATGTCTGAGGGGGAGGGGTGGGAAGGCTGTACCCGGATATTGCGTAAACACGGTGCGGCGGGCGTGCATGCGTCATTTACTCAAACAAAGCTATTCAGTCAAACATGGCAGACGAAGAGATAGAATTCCTCTCACTGATCGGACTTATGTTAAGCATAATTCTGCGCACATGAAGACCCATAGGAGACCTGGATGATTCACACACACATTCACACACTGATGGTGATGAGCTACGATGTAGCCACAGCTGCCCTGGGGCGCACTGACAGAGGCGAGGCTGCCGAGCACAGACGCCACCGTTCTCTCTGAACACCACCAGCAGGCAAGGTGGGTTAACTGTCTTGCCCAAGGACACAACAACAGAATTCTCTGTCCGGAGCCAGGATCAAACCTGCAACCTTCCGATTACTGGACAACCCGCTCAACCTCTTGAGCTACTGCTGCCCGTTAAAAAGACGACCCATATCAGGGAGATAAGTTTTGCTTTTGGTTCTACTAAACGGACTCTAGGGGGTGCTAAAAGCAAGCCAAAACGGCCAAGTGTGCCTTTAAGAATCCTGACCCTGCAGAGACCTGTTTTGAGTTTGGTCTTGGATCACCGAGCGTCTAAACTGCTGCTTTACATAATCTTATGAGAAGATAGCAAATCTAGTCATTTGTTATTTTTATCCGATGTAATTATTAGTGTTATGTGTCATTGTTAGTTTGTATATGAAGATGAATGTATCTGTATGAATCTTTAGGTTTACCTGGGGAGGCTTCATATGAGCTTTGTGGATCTGAATAAACTACACTAAACTAGGACCAAAGAGCCTCAACATTGTGATTGTATACATAATTTTTCCATGCTGATATTTTCTACTTGGTCTTCTGTGCAGGACCTGTGGTTACCGTACTTTAACATCACAACAGACATCACAGCGTCCTCCATGAGAGTCCACACTGACGGTCAGTGAAACCGGAACGTCTGATCTTCTCTTTTTTCATTACATCATCAATGTTTAATGAAAGCACTGGTGGTACAACTCGCATGTCTTCTCACATATGCCGATGAGTGTATAATTACTGTGAGAACTAAAACAAAAGGGCCGACACTAGAGATTCTGTAGTGTCAGATCAAAAATTGAAAGATAAGAATCTCAAAAATTTGTAACAACTGTACAGAACTGCAGTTTGAAGTGGCTGCATGGTGGCACAGCTGGTAGCACTGTTGCCTCACTGCTAGAAGGTTGCAGATTCAAATGCCATCTGCAGCATTTTGCAACTTGGATCTTGCCCCAGGTATCATTCACTTGGCTAAACCAATAACTAGGTGATGTTTCCTCATATGAGTTCTACTTTTTACTTCCTCCATATAGAGATTAGCCACAATGGGAGAAACCAGGGACATGGCCTATTTCTATCTGTAGAAGAAGTCGTTGTGTTTAAAATAAGTGGTAAAAAGGCAGAGATCTGCTCTGCACCTGATACCTGGGCCTTCAGTGTGGGTTTATGACTTAATCCACCACGATGAGATTACAATCGTACAAGCCACCAATACAATAAAATGCAATTTAACAAGGCTCCAAATAGGTACCAGATGTGCTCGGGGTCCTGCACCTGGCAATGACATCACTCTAAAAATGGCTGTAATTTGGCACATTGACGTTGAAGATTTTTGTTGGTCCTGGCTAATTGCCGAAGTTACGTTGGCACGTAGGCTAATGAGCTCAGGTTGCCAGGTCTGCTCAGAGTTCTTTTTTTTTGGGGTTGTGGTTCATCTTTGTAGGAAACATGGATGACTTTAGGGCTGCACAATATATCGCAAATATATGTTATTGTGATATCAGCATGCACGATATGCATATTGCAAAGAAGAGATAAATATCACAATGAATGGTGAGCTCAAATGTTTGCTGCACATAATGCATTCTGTCCATCAAAAAGAAGCATGATGGTGGGTTCTCATAGGTTAGATGCCCACCCCCGACACTTAATTTTGATGGTTAGCAAACACCTGAGTTAGCTTTGTTCTGCTCCTTCTACTGATTCTGCATTTCCCGGGATCCACTGATTCCCTTTGCTTGTTCATTTTCTTCTTCCCTTTCTTCACATCTTCTCATTTTTATGATATTATTTTTGTCATTTTTAAATGTCTTTGTTTTTGATTATTGTTTTTCTTGAGTTAAGATTTTATTTATCGCAAGTACCGTATTTTCCGGAGCATAAGTCGCTCCGGAGTATAAGTCTCACCAGCCATAAAATTTATAACGAAGAAGAAAAAAACATATATACGTCGCATTTTGGGGGGAAATTTTATTATTTTTCTTACAAAAACTGAGACCAAGCATTTCACATTGCAAGACAAGTACTGGTAACAATAACAGAATAAACTATCAGGGCGCAGCAGCGCACCACGGTCTCCAGCAGAGGATGGCCATGTTTCAAACCCTCCCAGCGGGGCAGATGAGCTGAAACCTGGACTTGAGCCGGCCCGCAGCAGCGCGCAACAGTCTCCAGCAGGTGATGGTGGGGCAGGGGAGCTCATTCCTGGTCCGGAGCCGGCCCGCAGCAGTGCGGTATACATAATTTGGTATATAAGTCACTTTGGTATATAAGTCGCAGGACCAGCCAGACTATGAAAAAAGTGCGACTTATAGTTAGGAAAATACGGTAATATCGTCATCGCAATATTAATCATTGTTATCACATATCACAGGTTTTTCTAATATCGTGCAGCCCTAGATGACTTCTACAAAGAAATACACTAATACAGTTTTGACTAATACTTGATTAAATAAATAATTTCAGACCTTAAATAAAGAAAGTTAGTTACATACTTAAATTCATTTACTCGCATGTGGGAAAATATATTTTGGTGGATTCTTATGAAAGGAGAGCCATGGCTCCACGTACCTGCTCCAGGTACGTGGCAGGAACGCTCATCACGCGATGCAGCCACATAATGATGACATAAACAATAAAAAAACATGATATACTTTTAAATATATTCATATTATCAACATTTTTTATTGTTAATCTTCCTGAATGAGTTATGTGTTTAGGCAGATAAATTAAGGGCATGTCATAAAACAGAAATAAATTAATGCATAAATAATAATAAAGAACTTGAAGGACAACTTGGATGTGACGTCCTTATTTTAATGCATTGTTGAAGTATCTGATTGTGACTCGGCAAAAACATCTAATCAGAAGATCCCTAATATAAATGCATACAAAAAAATCACATACATGAATTGTTTTGAGAGCTGTTCTGTTGGTAGAGTCGGATACTGATGTTAGTGCTTAACTGTTAAAAAAAACGGGGTGCACTTTAGTTTGTCCGAGTAGCGTTGCCACAACATGAGGTCATTGACCAGAGGCAGTGCCTTAAGCAAATCTGGTCTGCCTACACAGGAATTACAGAGGTCGTAGACCTGGCCTCACTAACCATGTTGTGTGAAGCCCAGAGTAACAAGGTGCTGTTTGATTTCAGGTATTTGGTTGTCAGAAGTAATAATCAGGGTTTTGGACTTCTCTGTGTTTAGCTGCAGGTAGTTATCAAGCCATTGTTAGATGTTAGCTAAACATTTAGTAAGAGAGGATAACTTAAGACTGTACGTTAGTTTAAAGAAGCAGTGGAGCTGAATATCATCAGAATAGAAGTGGTAAGAAACATTGTGGAACTGCCTAATTATAAGTCCAAGAAAGAGAATAGGTCCCAGAACCGAACCCTGCAGTACTCTATATGTAAGGTTTTTAGTGTATGACATTACTGTTTGCAAAAATGCCAAAAGAACTGTTGGAAAGGTACGACATAAACAACTTAAGACCAGATATATGACTACATCCCTGAGTCTATTAATCAAAATGGTCAGGTCAGTTCATTAAGCCAGTCAGTAAAAAGTTTCCTAAATAAGAAACCCAGCAAATTGCATCAAGTCACTGACTAGTGTCAGAGTCTTTACAGCAATCCTCATACTAAGCAAGCATTTAGCAACAGTGGAGAGGAAAACTCCCTTTTAACAGGAAGAAACCTCCAGAGGATCCTGGCTCAGTATAAGCAGCCATCCACCACGACTCACTGGGGATCGAGAAGACAGAGCAGACGCACACACACACACACACCAACACAAGCCCACCCACATACAAACACACATCCACACATGCAACATATATACAAAGTAGTATATCTATGGTTATGTTGTGACTTCTTAGTAAATAATCTATTTGGTGAGAGATAAACTTTATTGTATTTATCCTAGTGAATCTATAATTAAACGGGTAACACATTCAATGTCAAAGAAAGTAAAATGTTATTATCAGGAGAGAGAGAATGTTTAAATGGTTTGCAGTAGTGTTCAAGCCAATGGGCCCCTCCATGAGGCCACCACAGCTCAGCAGAACATCATTGTAGCTTATTCTGGGTAGAAAACACTTAAGAGAAAAAATAAAGTTAACAGCTAAAATAGCAGGAAATGATGCAGTTAAAGAGAAAATTGTAAAAGAAAGTAGTAGAGTGTGGAAAGAGGTCAGTAAGAGGCAGGGCAAGGGAGAGCCGTCTTTACCGACTGTATTCTCCACCTCCCTCTACTCCCCCACTTGTCCAGATCTGGGCTAACATCAGATTTTAACCATAGACCCTATCAAATAAAAATGTTTTAAGCCTAGTCTTAAAAGTAGACAAGTTGTCTGTGTCAGACTGGTCAGCTGGATAAGGGAGTTGAGCTGAGGCGAGCGTAGCTTTACCGACGCGGACGTGCTAGCGTCGGCAAAACACCGGCTCGCGGTTTGATCTAGGAATTCCCCAAGCGTCAATGAGGCAACACGGAGATGATGGGTTTTCCAGAGGTAAGAAACAGAGCTTACTGTGAGTAGACAGTTCGTCGGGTAGGTTGGTAGAATACTCTGATCACTGATTAGAAGAAAGGATGACTGAGTGGTGAGCTGGGCAGGCGACTTCCGTATATAGTCGCGGTTGGTGACGTAGGTGTGACGTGGAAGGAATCCCTGCGAGGAGCATGCTGGGAGTTGTGATCCAGGGTGGAGACCAGCTAGATAGAAGAGGCTGGTTTGGGGACTTGGGCTGTGACAGGACCCACCGGTCCAGGGACGGCTCCTGAAGTCCCAGGGCGGCCCCGGCGGTCCCAAAAGTCCGAGATAAGGGAAGGGTCCAGGATGGAGCAGGCCGGTTCCCAGGAGCGCTCCTCGGGGCCGTAGTCCGCCCAGTCAATGAGGTATTGCCATCTTCGACCTCTGCGACGAGCGTCCAGGACGCGTTGGACGGTGTAGATGGGCTCACCGTCGAGGAAGCGGGCAGGCGGAGGTGCCGGAGCCGGAGGCGGTAAGAGGGAAGATTCCACATAGGGCTTGAGCAGGGAGGTGTGGAAGGTGGGATGAATGCGGAGACTCGCCGGCAACCGCAGCCGGTACGAGACTGGGTTGATGACCTTCTGTACAGTGTAAGGCCCGAGGAACCGGGGAGCGAGCTTGTTGGATCCGGCACGGAGGCGGAGGCCCGCGGTGGACACCCAGACCTTATTCCCAGGAACATAGGAGGGACCAGGACGGTGTCGGCGGAGATGTTGGTGAGCGTAACGGGCATTAGCCCAGGTGATGGAAGCTTGTGCCTTGATCCAGGCGTTCTTGCAGTGCCTCACTAGGGATTGTGCGGCAGGAACAGCAACTTCGGGCTCCTGGTGGGCGAAGACTGGGGGCTGGTAGCCATAGCAGACCTCGAAAAGGGACATGTGAGTGGTCGAGGAGGTGTGTAGATTGTGGGACAACTCTGCCCAAAGGAGGTATTTATGCCACTGTGAGGGTTGAGCCGAGACAAAGCACCGGAGGTACCAACCCAGCTGTTGGTTAACCCGCTCTGTCTGACCATTGGTCTGCGGATGATAGCCTAAGGATAAGCTGACTGATGCTCCCATTAGGCGGCAAAAGGCTTTCGAGAATCGGGCCGTAAA